TTACAGTACACCTAGTTTAGTTTAAGCCAAACTTTTTGGCCAGTGCCCTAGTTTGTGTTCTATATGTGATTTCTTACCTCAACACCTTGACCTTTGAACCTCCTCCCAGAGGAGATGGGCATTGTTGGACACCACACATTTCCTCCCATTTTCTCATGACTGCCATCCGTTCTCACACTTCAGCAGCCCCCCTGAGTAAAACTCTCCAGGGGGTGCATTGTGGTGGCAGTTATTTTTTGCTTTCATCTACCTCCACAGCCCTTCAAGGAATGATGAGTTGTACCACCTCGAGGGGGAATCTCAGATCAAGGAGAAGAAATCAGCAGTGGTATAATAGCCTACTGCCCACATCTCAAAGGAATGCAGTCAGGACTCATTTCCACACTGTGCATTGTTTCTGCTGTAAATGAGTCTCACGGGAAATATGAGTGTTGGCCAAACTATATAATCAGATCAAACCACTTGTTATTGTTGCAATCAACACTATGACACTGAGCATCTTATTCACTGGTCCATAGGTGTCAACTGCCCATTCACTGTCTAGATATTTGGTTGCAATAGATCAATATATGTTTAAATATTTAAATAAATATCAGATATCCAGTCATCTGATATGATGATGTTCCTGCTTGACCGCAACTGCAAGTTCCTTTTTTGTGTTATTCCACTTTTTCTCTTGGTTGTTTTGAATTATTTTATATATAAAAGAGGTTGTAAATCAAACAGTTTGAGGGTGGAAATGAAGATGTAGTGTCCTATAATTTATAAATTACTGCTGGGACAGAAAAAAGTTGGAGGAAAAACTAAGTGCTTTTCATTTTTAGTCTATTAAAGTGCTTGAACAAGGCAAGTTGAAACAACATCAATTAAAACAACAATGCCAACAACAAAACAAAACGAAACAAAACAAAAACAGTAACAGTGGTATAAATAAAATCAACCTGTATTAAAAGCCAAATTAAAAAGATAGGTCTTTAATTTCATTTTAAAAATAGCTAGGGAGTCTGCCATTCTCAGATCCAAAGGGAGAGTGTTCCATAGTTTAGGGCCATAAAAACAGAAAGCAGCTTCACCAGTTCTCTTGTGGGACACTTTACGAACAGCTAAACGACAGTTAGTGGAAGATCTGAGAGTTCTTGTTGGGGCATAGTGTATTTCAAAACGTTAGAATCAGTATCAGCCTTCAGAAATGCCACATTGTTCTAACTCTAGTTGCTCTCAGTTTTCCCTGTGTCTGTGCATATCAGTTAACATACACTTTTGAACTCTGAGCGCTGGAGATGCTGAGTGCTGGTCTCTGCTGACCATTCACTGTGACTGAAACCAGAGCGTCCGTAATAATGGCATCATTGATCACTAGCCACCTTTTTTCTGTCGCTGCTTTCAAAGCATCCACTGCCATGAGAAATATTTCCGAAACAGAGAAGCAATCTTTATCTCAGTGAGAGGCTTGATCTGCCCTCCCCTCACCCTCCGAGGCCTGATGTGCTTTTAGTCTGCCTCAGTCTCTCTCTAATGTGTTTGCTTGCTGAAGGGCTTCTGTCACAGCAGCTGCTTCACCTACCAATGTGAATTCAAAGAGACATCAACTCATGTAATGGAGGGGCACAATTTTGCACACAGGGAGCTGTTTAATCTACTGTACAGTGTCTTTATTAGTCAATTTTACATTATATGAAGTATGAAAGACGTTCACATTTCAGTATGGGTATTAATCCAGACAGATTCCAGAACATGAAACCCCTCCTGGTAGTTCCAGAATCTGATTTTGTCTCTGCTGACCTGCCTTGTATTTTCTGATCCGTGATTATCTGTATTAAAAGTGGCAAAGAGATTGGAACCAAGGATTACCAACTGGGCAACTGCCCTGCAGCCCCTTAACCCCAACAGTCCTGAAAACTCCTGGTTAACTGTGTCAGTGGGTTTGTACTAATTTATTGGAAAATTTGTTTTGTAATATGCACAACAAAACGTATATCACTGACATGATAAAATGGCTGTGTCAAAATGTAGTTTTAAGTTTTGAGTATGAAATTATATTATTTATTATATACACCCAAAGACTATAAAAATAATGGACATAGCTACCATGATGTCACCTACTGTGTGCAACCTCCAAGGCTGAAAAATGGAGTTTACAGCAGAAATAAACATGTTTACAGCCTGGCTAATTTACAGCGTAGCTAATTTCAACATTCATGACAACTGTGCAGGGGGATGAGGTTGTTTTTTTTTAATAACTTACGTTTACATTTTATAAAGGCCCAAAGTTATACATATTTAAGGGCGGGGCCGCTTGATTGATATTGGTTGTCTACGAGGCGTTGCTGTACTCTGCGAGTCAGAGCCACACCTCACTCCTCCACAGCTCCACCCCCTCATCCAGATACACTTGTGAGTCAAAAAAAATAAGACTGCAACAGCTGAAATGCCGAACTCGCCCACCCTTATTTATGCATAACTCTAAGCCCTAAAATTGGCTATAGAGACCAAAACCATTTTTTGTATCAGGCTGTAAACATGTTTATTGCTGCTGTAAAGTTGGGCATTTTAAAGCTATAGTGCGTAACTTCTGTCACCTCCCAGCGGATAATGCGTTATTACAACTAATAAACCGACGGCACTTCCATGTACACAGAGTAACACTCGCCACACACCGTGCACACAGAGTAACACTCACCAGTCGCCACACATCGTGTACACGGAGTAACACTCGCCAGTCGCCACACATCGTGTACACAGAGTAACACTCGCCAGTCGCCACACACTGTGTACACAGAGTAACACTTGCTACACACCGTGTACATAGAGTAACACTCACCAGTCGCCACACACCGTGTACACAGAGTAACACTCGCCAGTCGCTACACACCGTGTACACAGAGTAACACTCGCTTCACACTATGTACACAATGCTATACAACGTGGCAAACATCAGGCGGCTAACATTACATTACGTTCATAGCACCATTTCCAAGAAAATAATAAAGTACTAGGTCCAGTACATGTAACAGCAACTCATACTACTCATAATATAATTATAAACCAAGTCACTTACTTATCCAACAGCAGCAAAGCAACATCTGTGTCTGCCCTCAGCCCAATTTCTTCCTTCAGGGCTCTCCACCGAGGAAAAGCGACGCCAATACAAATCCTTGTTTGCCTTCTCCGTCGGTCACTTTCCTTCTTTGCCAATAGACCTTCAGCCAAACGTCCAGGCTTTTTCATTGTGGTAGGATCCACTTCTGAACCGTGTCTCAGCCGCTTCTCCTCCATGTTGCTTTCTCTTTCTACCTGCACGCTACCTCTTGCTATGACACTCTCCGATCTTCCTCCCCCTCCCTTCTTGTTGTGAGGAAGCATTTCCTGTGCGCCAGCGCGGGAATGTCGCCGGTCGACACGCATACTAAAAATGATATATATTGAAAAATACCGCGAGATGTTAGAGGGGCCGATTGGCTTAATCAGCATTGTGTCATCTCCTCTAGAGGTGGCTTGGGTGAAACGGACATTTACGGACCTGTAGAAGTTACGCACTATAGCTTTAACATGGGGGCCTATGGGTACTGATTCCCCTTTGGAGCCAGCCTCTAGTGGCAATTGAAAGAACTACCGTTTTTGGTACATCTGTGTTGGCTTCATTTTTCAGCCCAGGAGGTTGCCTCCTGTATACATCTGGGAAATAGTAGAAATATTAATGGGTATGTGGTGACCTGCCACTAAGCCAATACTGGGCAAAAAAGCCATAGTGGCATGGCAGGGCCCTGTATCATGTTAATGCAACCATGATTTTGACTGTTTTATGTATTAAGCTAATGGTCTCTCTTGTGCTTCTGTTGTAACTGTCCATTTACAAACATATGTGTGTTTTTAAGGAGGACTGTTGTTGTAGGAATATTCTTTGTTCTGTTTAATGACACCAGTTTATGGCATTGACACCTGCATGGCTTCAAGTTCATCATGTTCACAGGCGTTATATGGCTATGGTATTTAGGTGGGGAACAACACCTGAGGCTAACCACAGACATGCAAAACTCAAATGATTCAGTTTTCATCACATGACTGACTATGATATATGTAGCAAGAGCGAGGCTCTTGGTGTTCAAAATTGTTCTTGTACTCATGAGACCCAACACAAAAATCATCAAAAAAAAAAAAATCCCAAACGATTATTCAGCAGGGTCGTGTGCTTAAGTAAAAGGAGCAATACCACCATATAGAAATACTCAGTCACAAGTAAAAGTCCTGCAAAATCCTTAAAAACTTTACCAAAGTACAAGTAGGCTACATAAGTATTAGCATCATCAAAATATACTTGAAGTACCTAAAGTAAAAGTACTCTCTTTGCTGAATGGCCAGTTTCATAATAATATAACTGGATTATACTTATTGTTGCATTAATGTGGTCATTACTTTAATGTTGCAGCTGGAAAAAGTTGAGCTCATTTTAGTTACTTTATATACTGATGGGTACCATTCCTAATATTATATCATGATTCATTAGTTGATGTATATTTTGCATTAATAACATACATCTGCAAAGTATCATAGCTGTCACATAAATGTAGTGGAGTAAAAAGTACAGTATTTGGCCCTAAAATGTACTGGAGTAGAAGTGTGAAGTGGCATAAAATGGAAATACTAAAGTTAAGTACAAGTACTTCAGAATGGTACTTAAGTACAGTAGCTACTTGAGTAAACGCACTTGGTTACTTTACACCACTGAAATTCACTGTAGTTCATTTAATAATTTGGTATTTTAGTAGTGTATTTTGTTGAAAATTTCGAAATACTGTGATATATATCTATATAATAGAAATAATTACGTTTAATTGATCATTGCCTTCTCGCTGAACCTGAGATGCATCATAAATGTAGGCTACTGTGCTTTTAAATCTCCTGTAGTTCCGCCCTACACCGTGTGACCAATCAGCAGCTCTGACACACAACCCTCTCTGAATTATAGACTAATCACAGCTCGTCTTTCAACACCAGTTGAGCAGCCCAGTTGTAGCAGTCTGGATGGTATCACCTTCAGTCTACCAGCGCAACAAGCCTGACCACCGTGCGACTGACACGGTCTGCGTACACAGAAAATGCCCCGAAAGTGACTCGAGAGGACGGCAGGACTGTCCGGACATTGGCACTGGATTCCCCGGAGGTTGTCTGACCGACAGACCCGAGTCTCCTGCGCCGTATCCGCAGCATTAGGTAGGTTTTTGGCGCTGTTGTGTTGTTGCAGTGTCCCTCTCCACTCCTTCCCTTTCGCCCAGGAGCTGCGACAATAAAACGCACATTTTTGGCTGGCGGGTTTGAGTAAACGTAATACGACGTTTTCTTAGCTTTATCACAGCTGCCTCTCCTCATAAACACGGGTTACATAATTGCTAGTGTTTGGCATGTTACCTTTCAAGACTGGAAAGAAGACCCCGGTTGATATAATCGTAATTTAAGCTCATGTCAAGTAAATACATGTAGCAGGGATGTATGTTGACAGATAACACCGTTACATGCCGCCCTCAGGGTACCGTTGCGCTGAACAAATCTGCGTTGTTTATCGACAGACGTAGTTAGGTTACACACCTTGAGGATCAGTGAAGACATTTTACAAATGTTAAAAGAGGCAACTCCATACGGCTGGGCCACCAGGCAGTACCCGTTTCTGTTAAATTCAACTTAAAACATGTCCTCGGTGCTATTCTTAGTACCTCTTTCTGTCCTAAAGAGACACAGCTGAGCTGACTTTAAACCAAATCTTAAGTTTAGATTTTATGTACATTTGCAGCCTTGGTGGTTTATATCCGTATGCCGATTTAATCAGAAGACCATCTCATATACGGGACCTTACATTGACTTTGTTTGAACTGTGCTGCTTTGCTGATGAACAAGTCATCTTTTAATGCAGTGTTTTAATAAAGTTTGGTTTGAGGTTACTTCTAACAATGGATAATGGAATGTGTTGGGCTTACATATGTACATGTTTGGGCCTGTGGGTGCAGCAAGGGTTGGAAAAAATGACCCGGCCTCAGTTAATCACATTGGTCAAGCTCATGCAAAGCAGCCTGCACAATATCTTAATTTGAGGTCCACACATACTGGATTATTTTCTTTCCTAGGTCCTGACAGAGGCCTAACAAGTTACACTTTATCCTGTTGTTGAACCAGAGAGATGGGGTCTCAGTTATGTGCAAAATTCAAAAAAATTCACATTTAATGTTTCCATCTTTCTTCAGACAGTAGTGTGTTAACCTGCCACAGTTTCCCAGGCTGCTTAGTGAAATCATTATCACCACTGATAGCTTCATATCCATCTCCATTGCTATAGAAGATGTCAAGACTAGCAAGAAAATATAGGAAATTTGTGGCTCATCTCTCAGAAAAAAAGTTCAGTGGATTTAAAAAAATGAAAGATACAATTGTAGCCTGCAGGCCTACAAAGATGAACGTCTCTAAAAAAATTACTTTGTAGCAGTAAGTTGAGTGAACAGTTTCTAGTGGCCAGTGAGGGGCATAGACTACCAGTGTCTTGGTAGCCAGGAGCACATCTGCTGTGTGCAGGTGGTCTTGGGGGAAAAAGACTCAAGTTCAGTTGAATTCAGTGTATATCTCAGTGCTGGCCGCTCTCAGTGGGTCGGCTTCCACAGCTGCAGAGCTGGATCAGTTGGACTCAAACTCTCTTATACTCTCATTTCCTTGTCTGAAAAGGACACCCACTGCTGCATCACAATTATTACATTCAGGCCAGCAGCTGTTTGACCGCTGAGCCCAGCCAGGGTTTCAACTGCAGAACGGGGCTCATATTTATGAAGTTGCTCAAAACAGCGCTTACTGCTCAAGGACTTACTGACATGGGGGCCCCCATTCATCAAACTTCCCAGAATGGTAGTGCTGATGGGCACAGACGTCAGTAGATCTGCACAGCTTGTTTTCACTGTGAAACACTTGATTGATTGATGACAGTTTGTTGACTGATTGTGAGAGAGGACAAAGTCTTCAACTGTGCTTATGTCATTGTCCGCATCTACAAAGTTTACAGCAGTGATACTTAGCCTCACACCAAGAATTTTTTATTTTTTTCTACTTCTAATACATATTAAGTTGCGTGGCAACTGCCTTGACAACAACCTACCCGTAAGAGCCTTCCTCATAAAAGCTAAGTATTCATAAAAGCAGCTGCTGCCGCTACAGTCCAGGGGTCTCATTTATAAAACACTGCATAGGATCCGTACTAAAAATGTATGCACAGACAAAAGCCAAAAATGGTGTGCGCCAAAAAATATTCTACAATCAGGCTTCCACCTCACCATCTGCATCACCAATTTCCTGTCTCCAAAATGTTTGTAAGCATAGGTTTCTCCCATCAAGTCTGTTTTACAGATCAGAACTTTTCTATGCCTCATTGGTCAAGCTGTGATGATGGGCAGCTGCTTCGAGAACATCACTGTTAGAGGTGCAAGCTAGCTTGGCACCATGTAAACATCAGCATACTGTAGCGAAACAATGGAAATCACTGAAATTACCAAAGATTTCTACATATTTGGACAATTTACCAGTCATCTGAAATTTGGTGGAAGTGTTATCGCAGGCCCAGTTTTTCTTGTAGTTGTCCTTATAAGTTGCTGTGTTAAGTGTTGTGTTGTACAACTGCAGGTGGGCGTCAACTGCTTCATACTGCCATGTTGGTGCTTCTGCTTTCTCTCTGCCGCTTTCCCCTCATGAAAATTACTGTAGGCTGCGAGTTATCGCACAGCGGTGTGAAAGCAGCTTAAGGTGCCGGAGTGCATAAAAAAGCATCGAAATAGAGCCTGTTTATAAAAATAAAAAGTACCAGAGGAGGATCCCTGGATCCCCTTACAGGTGTCCAGACTAAGCTCCAAATGTCATCAAATCCTAGAGATGCCCCTGCGTACACGTAGGGGTGCTGCTGACGGGCCCTTAAACTTATGTCATTTTGCAAAAATTGCCCTGAGGCAAATCAAGTTGAGTATCCCTGGTTTCCAGCTTATATCACAATATTTTTTGTTCTTTACTGCTTTTTATAGCATTGGCAATTTTATTTGAATTAAAGCTACCGAGCACAAGGGAAGTAACATTGTACAAATTGATGGGAAACAAGAAAACATGAGTGATAATGAGAAGTGTCCAGGAACAATTGAGCTCTGAGCCAACAAGTTTGGTTACCACCTCCACATTGGTCAGGTTTTTCTGGTGAGCTGCTGTATCTCTGAGAAATGAGTGGGCCTATGTGTGTCTTGTTAGATGTAGTGTAACTGCAAGCAGGCAAAGCTCAAAGTGTTTGATGCAGACTAGCTCTTTTCCATCCAAATGACCAACTGATAATAAACAGAAAAGCAACATGCTTTCTGTGAGCCGGCAACCTGCAACTGCTTTCATCAGTTAAAAAATAATAGATAATCATTATTGTAATAATTTAATTTCCTGTTGTTGTGCTAATCGGTTTATGGCTTTTTGGTTGCATCATTAATGTTCAGCAAGCTAGTTTCCTGTAAAGGGAAATAATCGCAACATGATGAAACATTGAAATATGATGAAACACATTGCAGAAACCTCAAATGATGACATGTCCAAGTGTCAGTCTGGCCTCTAACACTCAGAGATGTTGATTATACAATGAGCTGATCAGCTGATTGACAGAACAGTATCAAATATTTTGATAATCAACTAATTAATGCCATTTTCAAAGCAAAAATACCAAACTCTGATTCCAGGTCTTCCAAATGATGATTTGCAGCTTTTCTCTGTTTTATGTCGTTGTAAATGTCACAGTTTGAAGTGATGGACCGTTGGTTGGACAAAACTTGACATTTGTAGACATCATAATTGAACTTGACAGATTAATCTGTATGAAATTATCATTAATTGCATCCCAGCAAAAATAGCTGCCATTCACTTTTGAAATTTTACAGTAATAACTAAAATAACAGTAATAACCAAATTATTATGAAAGAGCAATGCAACTGGGAGGAGGGGTTTTGATTGCTGCAAACATAGTAGAGCAGGCTAGGTGATATTACTTTACTAATACTTAGCCAATATTGGCTTACTTACTAAAAGAGATTGATATTGTTGTATTATGTTGGCCACTAAGTATCAAGAATTGCTTAAAAATAACAAACAAAAAATAAACTAAAGGATCTGCATCACAATTGTAATATTATATTTATTTTAAAATTTACTATATGTAGCCGCTTGGTACAGGATTTTTTTTAAAACTTCAAAATATTTGCATCAGTATACAGAGAGGGAAATAACAATTTCAGCATGCCAACTTTTTGCATTAAGAATATTTCCAATGCAGCTATTCACATGAAATTTAGTCTAGCCATTGATATTAACTTAATTAAAATTATTAACTTTATCAAAATTATGTGGATTGTCATTGTAACATTCCAATCCATAAAGAAATGTGGAATAAAGTGGAATGACACAGGGGAAAAAAGTATTGAACACACTAACCGAAATGTATTCTGGTCAGGGCTCGACAGTGCGAGCGTTTCACTCGCATTTGCGACTAAAAATAGGTGTGTGCGAACTGTAAAAAATATTTAGGGGCACATGTGCACATAAAAAAATCAGTCGAAGCAGCCTATATTTTTGTCAATAAAAAAATACGATAATCTAATCGCAAATATTGAAGGAACTCCAGCCGCCTTCCCTCTTCCCCATGTGACACGGTTATGGGCGGTTTTCCATCCACTGTTGGCATAATGAATATAAGTCCCACTGTTGGCAGGGTGGAAATATGTCAAAGTGTGGCGGAGGCAGGGACAGTTTTTGCTATGGGCAATGTGGGCGACCGCCCAGGGCGCAATCTATGTGAGGGCGCACGAGCGCCCTCCAAAACAAAACAAAACAAACAAACAACAACAAAAAAAAAACTCTAGACGGTAGTCTAGAAAACCCAGTTTTCTAGACTACCGCTCATTTCCACGTCAAGTTAGTGGAGTGGCCGCTGGGGCGCCCCTATTATCACGGCGGTTGTGGGTTGAACGGGGGTCACAGACAGGAATATGGCGGAGGATCATAGTGCGCAAGATAACGGCTTACCGCGACAGAGAAGGTCCAGTAATTTCCTCTTTCGCTGGTGTCATGACTGCCCAGTAGTACCTGGACAACCGAGCCGTGGTGGCACAAAGGTATGTAGCGTGTCAGAGGAGAAACGAGCCGTTAACATTTCTCTCTTGTGGCAG